CCGTGAGTGCCCTGAGGGTGAAGGCCAATAACGATAATAAACACTTTGTTGGCCCCACTTCCAATATTGGCAATTCCTCGATACGTCCATCTGGTAGGTGAAGCTCGGCTTTGCAAGGGGCCAAGGCAGGGGACTGACAGGAACCAGGTGAGAGTAGACAGGAGCACGGCCCTGCGGCCACTACCCCATTGACCACGGGACGGTCCAAGCCAGTCGTCATGAAGAACCGCGAGTCTTCACTGAGATTACGTGGCTTGAGGGGCATTGAAAATATGATGGAAAATATATCAACGTTGAAGAGATGGATGATCATGCTGTGGCGACGTGGTACTCCTTCACGTCACCATTACGTGACGCCACGTATGATGTCGTCGTGGTAGGCTCAAGAGCAACAGAACCACCTACGACGACTGCTGTTATACTAGGGATGCATATCGCGATGTTACACACAGTATATATGGGCAATCACGACGTGTGAGGAAGTTGGTGTTAGAAAAAGGTGGTAGTATTAATTGCTCCACGAGACAGGCAGTCTGTAACGTAGATCACTGGCTGGCTCTTAGTGATCTACGTCACAGACTGCTCTCGCTGTATGACCCTACTGTTGTAGGCGTGTGCTACTGTACGTGCTATTCGGTGCCACAACATGTGTTTAATATGTAGCTCGATTATAGTGCGTCCTAGATCGTCTTGGGCACACATGACCTCAAAGAATGCCCGTCCAATGGCGCCACTAATTTGGAAAGCAAATTTTGGATTCCTAATTTGGGAATATGTATGCGTGCGAGAACTGGACACGTGACAGCACTGCTGGAGGCCAAACAGATTCCATCACTTTTTTCGAGGCCCGTCACTATTCCTGCACTCTGCACGAAATATCCTGTCCCTATTCTGCGCATTTCTGCGATAGGCTGATATGCCTGCAGAATCTGCACGAGGTGTTCATCAATAGACCTCTTCTGAGTTTCAAGAGCGCCCCCTCCAGGATCGACTTTGACCCGCCTATTCCAAATTGGAATTTCCAATCCTGAGAGTGTTCTCAGCAAGTCTATAGAGTCTACTACCGAATACTCATCAAGATCAACGTCTTGATCAGACTACTAGGCTGTCTCCATGGTACTTCCACAACTTGGGCACACGCTTGGTACGATAGTGCGCCCCAGCAGACATGGAGGGGACTGGTGTTTTCCGATAGGGACTGTTCTCAACCTTCCCCTCCGCGTCACAGTAGTTTCTACGTAGCCTTCTGCTGGCATGAAATTGCGCAACTTCGGAAGTTCAAAAGTTGAATTCGTTCAGAATTCGAACGTCACCCCGATTTCTGTAAAGCAAGCATTCTCTCTCACCATTCCAGTCCTATTCGCTTTCCGATACGCTGGCCACTTTGATCGAGATCCCCCGAGCCTTTGGATCACTAACAATACTGTCGCGAAGAGGCTCAGGAGGCTCTTATAGATGCATTACATGGTTAGGTCTCTATGGCAACACCTGCGGCTATGATCAACTAAGGTAACGAATCTCGTTATGGTCGCGAAGGTAGGTGTGGCCATGACCATGTGTCCCTTCTGGTCCAATGCCCACCCCTACACGTAACTGGAGTTTGTGGCGCGCCTCGAGGTAGTCTATAACCCATATATAGTAGCAAACTGGAGTGGTGGTGACATGCCTCTTGGACCACTGGGCTCAGCTCGTCAGCTAGTGTCAGCACTTATCAATGCGAGAGGCGTCTACAATGTAGTCAGGCAGGTCCAAAGGGTATGTTTCGTTCATTCGAACGAGTCACATTGGAGCATCCTGGCAGGCGCAAGATGCCCAACTTGTGGTCCACTGCTCTGTCGGAGGTATTGCCCTATAGGTTAACGATGCAGCTCTTTATGCTGTACCTGGGATCTGCTACTGTGCTGTGTATATCATACCTAAGGCCGTCAGTGAACTGGACTTAATGTCCTCGGATGCCCTACTATCAGCCTTCCTATTGGTCGAGTGCCATAGAAGCCGATACCAGGGGTCCTGGCACTGTTACCGCCCTGCTCATGGTATCCCACTGTACGTCTGCTCTAGCGCTGATGCCGAAGTTCTTGTTCTTGTCTGGGCCCAAAGTGTTGAAGCTGGATGGGAGGACCTCTCTGCCCTGCAAAGTCTACCTAAGCTGGC